AGGTGACTCCTCCACAGCAAAGCTCCATGCATTCTCACTGCTCTCCCACATAAAGGGCAACTTCCCCCCATGCCATCTGGCTGGTTCTTCCTGAAGAGCCTGTATTCATCCACTGTAAAACCGCAGTCCTGTGAGTTGTCCTACCACCTACATGTAATCTCAACAAGATCCTAGCCCTGCAACTGCGTGCAGAACTCCAACTCCTCCCATTTGCTCTCACACTGTTAAATGTACAGCGCTAATGTACAGGCACTGTAAAGAGGCACTCATTCATGATGATTGTTCAGAAAAATCTATGAGAGCTTCCCCTGTAACAAGTATGGTAACACAACAAAACCAAAGGCAAATAAGCAGCACTATTTGATCAATCTGACTTCAAGATACATTATCTGATCCTCCTATTAATGAGCTTTAAGATCAACTAAAGCCACTAGAAAGCATGTGACCTGCAAAATCTATGTATGTTACATGATTCTGCTTTGGCATCATAAACTCACTACCCTTCTATATTAGGCTACAAGCACCATGGTGACTGTAAGCAGGCAGTCAGGCGAGGACTAGCCTTAAACTCAGACTGCTTTGCACCAGTGACACCCCCCAGGCAATTCTGGACTTACATACTCTACTACCCCAATGTAATTGGGCAGAGCAATCCCAATCAAAGTCTGCTGGCTTATCAGAATATTACTTGGCTAACAACAAAATAATGTGTTAAAACCGATTTTGATTATAAACTTCATTTATAATATATTGATTCCTAGTTTGCACCCCCGTGGATTTTCTTCAAGTAAGCCCACTCCTCCCTGCCACTGCTCAGCTGTTTAACATACACCTGCAACTAAGTTTTACTGAAATGCAACAACTGCTTTTGATAATAATCACTGTGTGTGCGTGCAGGTAATACGTTCACCTTATCACTGTATTTAAGCAACTGAATAGACCAATCTAGTTTCTGCAATTCAAGTTAAACAAAAATTCTACAAAAACCATAAAAAAGAGTGTAAAATCTGTTAGCTCCAAGATGCTGTATAAGCTAATCTGAAACACTCAAATCCCCGTCTATGTGTATTACTTCCCTTAAAGGTGAAGCATATTCTGATAGTGCACTTCCCCTATTGTATCAGCCTAAAGTCAGCTTTCAGAATTTTTCCCTTAAGCAAAACATTTAATTTCAATTTCTTCCCCAAAACATACACATTAATCAAAAAAATAAAAGCATAATTGCCATAGAAAAAGTAAGTACATTGACCACAATTATACAGTGTATTAAATGTCAAAATTAGATCACTTAGTGGAGGTGTAAGTGTGCCTAGCAAAACACAGTAGTTCAATGCAAAGTCATATTCATTATTGTGTTTTAATGGCTACCAGAGACAAACCACTTTTTAAAAAGAATATATTACTTTTGCAGTTCACTCTTGAATAGTTTTCAACATGCTGATTTAAGAACAGTACTGTAACAGTGATTCTTCCTTCATAAAACACCTCAAATATATGTATATCTGTATATATATCTGAAGTGCTCCAAAAAGGCAGAAGCCTTTCTCAAATGGAGCTTAAGAAAATGGCTGCCAAAGTAAAGAAGCTGCTGCATGCACCCAGTAAGGCAAGACAAAGACTAACTCTAAAGGGAAAGAAAGACTCACACTAATATTCTTTGTTTTCAAAATGGAAATCTTCCTCTACAGTACTAGGGGGGAAAAAAAATAAAAAAAGAGAAGGGTTATTATTCAGAAATTCTGTCAAAGCACGCAGAAGCGCTTGCTGTCAACAGTCACATTACTAAAATAAACCCCCAAACTAGAATGCTTGCACTGCTTGGGGTGGAGTGGGGTGTCTTGGAGATTACCAGTGCCAGGGAAGGGTCCGGGGACAAATGCTGTTACAGCACAGGTCTCAGCTCTTAGTAGAGGATGCTATACAGCCAGCCTTGTTCTTAGGAGACCTCGAGGGCACACCCAGACTACTCAGTGTCTAAACGCTTAATCACAGTAGTCCCTACTTGGCATCTGCAAGGGAAAGCTCTGGGATTGAGACTGCAGGCTATTTCCTCAGCAAGCAGCCGCCCATCCCCTTCCAAACACAGCCAGCCTTCCCTGGCTGTTACAGCGCAGGCTGAAGGAGAATGCTGGGGCTGGGTAAACGCTGCATTACCTACCACAGAGAGCTGGACTTTCGCCCTCGGACACAGCTGCCCCTCTGCCCTTTTACTCCTTACTCAGCAGCAGTCCTGACCCGCTGGGATGGGCTGTGAACAAGTATGGGAAGAGGCATTTAGTCGGCTCAAGCAGCTGTTGTCGGCATGCTCCCAGAAAAAAAACAACCGACTGGGGAGAAGCCGATCAAACGCCACCACTGGACTGCTCCGGCTTAAATCAAGTCAGGAATTCAGTGCTTGGATCCACTCCTGCACCTCCTTCAAGCAAAATAGAGAGCAACAAACATGCCAATGGGACAGCTCTTGCCACCCAGCAGCAAAAGCAACAAGCACACGTTAAGCCATCAAAAATGGTCCTGACATTCAGCACATGGTTGGCTACTCAGAAAAAGATGTTTAAACTCCCCTTAGAGATCACTATATTTTAAGGCACAGGCAGTCTACTGCTCTACGTATTTTCACCAGGAAATTAAATGAAAATTGAATAACAGCCAAACAGCACACAGGCTGCAAAGTAACAAATGCTGAGCTAGTGACTTTAGATTCAACTTTCAAATTTGTTGCTTGTAATGATGTGTGTGCTCTGATTCCTTTCACAAAACCTGAAAGTTATAAATTTGACTTACAGCAACAATCTAGTAATAAAACAACTCTGACATACAAACGAAATAAAGCAACAGACTTAAAAAGGCAACAAAAGTAAATTTTACAAGAAACATTTAAGTCACACAGAAACCTACTTTGCCATTTCACTGAACATTTAAACGTGCACATAGTGAGAAAATGCACTGCAAAACAGGAAATACTAGTTAGCTTTTTAAATGTCCCTTATGCCACTCCACAAGCCAATTAATACACATTCAACTCTCCACATTACAGAAAGAATCATTATAAACTGGGCAGACTTATTCCTTATTAACAGCATGCTTAAACAGAAATAAAACAGATCTTGCATCCGTAATGCTGAGCTTCAGAAAAGCACCAGCTTATGAGGGCAGGAAGTCCCGGCCAAGCATCCTGAGCCTGAGGGGGTCCTTCCATAGTCATAAAAACACACCAACAGACTGCTGCCAAAAGACAGACTGCTGCCAAAAGACAAAGTCCTGCCCTTCACCATAATCACGTCCCTCACACACACAACTGCCAGGACCTGCTGTACAGATCAGCTCTGGGAATTGATTTTGCTAAGCAATAACAGAGAGGGAGCAGGCTGAGCCAGATTTCAGAAGCAGCCCCTGCTCCTGTATCGAATAGATATGACCATGCAAACTGTTCTAAAGACAAATTTGATCTAAAATTGCAGCCAGCAATGTTCTTCTGAGTAGCCAATGGAGCAATGACCGGGAAAAAAGCATAATACACAATGAAACAATTTGTTGTTATTTGTTTTGTCTACATGGTTCCCGTCTTGGGGACACCTTTCTACAGAAGCTTCATCCGAGCCTAACCTAATGTGCATCACGAGAGACAGTTGAAACTGAAAAAAGTAAATAAAAGCAACCCCACTTGCTTCAAATGTTTTGAAGAAAACAAAAAAAAAGGATTTTATGCTGGGGCAATTTGTTTAGAGAAAGAAAAATACAGCACAAAGTGACCCACAAAAACGCAAAATATATTCTTCAGTTTCAAGAACTTCAGCATTCAAGGATGCTGGATAACAGCATGAGATACGAGTGTTCACAACGCAAGGACATTTTAGAAATGGCTTACTACCGGTGCTATTCTCAAATTAAATCTCACGTGTTCAGAAGGAACATTTCACATCATGGAAAAATGCTCTGATAAGCTCTAGCTTTTCGAAGTACTTTCAAGAAAAGGTTTTCAGTGTAAACATGAGATTTCACCTACGAGTTAGCAGTTCTTCCTCCCATCACTCCCAGAACCATGAAATAAAACCAAAATGTAAACCGTTTCCAGAAGACTTGCAAATCAGCCAAGTCAGAACAGTTGGACAAACCCTACTGCAATACTGACAGACCTTTCAGGCTTCTCCTGTTATCTGTAGATCTGGATTCATCCCACCCTCTGATAGGAAGGTGCTACAATGACACAGTTGGTATAGCTGGCCTTGATCAGTTAGCTCACAGCCAAATTCCCTGACGGATGGGCTGCAGATGATACACAGTCCCAACTGCAGCCAAACACAGAGCTGACCCAATGCAAGTTTTCCACTTCTGAACAGGCAACATATGATTGTCACAGGACTGTCATGACAGTCAGAGTGCCCGATAAAGCATTATTTGATGAACATCGGACACCACCTTTCAAATCTAACAGACACTAACAGTCAGCAAAGCATAATGAGTAAATCAAATATAAGAGAACCTCCTGGCATTTTAATGCCAAGTCATGTTGTCCAAATTCATAGTCTTAATAAAGTCACTGGGGACAAGAACAGAGTCTGATGACTGTAAAATCCACTAAAGACAGAAGACAGTCATTCTGTGAGAATTACTTCTGTTCTCCAGCTACTAGAAGGGATAAAGAAAAAAGGCTAGTTTGTGCTCACTCCTATTTAAGCACTCACCTCTAGCGAAGCAGAGCACGACTGTTTTAATGACTGTTTTGTGATAGTTACACAGAACAGGTCTGTATTTTTTCTTAAGTAACGTGGTTAAAGCAGATTGCACAGTAATGACAGGCCTACCAAAATGCTCAGATAGCAGGCTGTAGCCTCATAAACTCCACGCTGATACCGATGCCATGATACTCTGGAGGGTGGTACCTTCATTAAAACAACTGGCACAGGATTAAGTTGCAAAAATTCTGTCAGCAAACACGTACCTAAGTCTTCACCGCACTGAACGCTTCGCTAGGGTTATAAGCGTATCCTAACACCTACCTCAGCCATCTGTTTGCAAAAAAAAGGATGCCTGGAACAGATGCCCGCACGCCCCGCTGCCGCACCCCGCACAGGGCAGCCGCCGCCCGCGGCGGAACACCGAGCAGGCTCCCCATGCCCGGGGATCGGCCCCGGCAG